TTTTTTTTCCTTAAATGGTACATTTTTTTCCCTTCTTTTATGAAAAGAAAAACCAAAGAGAGTATACCATGTATACAAAAACACCATTTATTGCTTTATAACCGATCAAAAGAATAGATTTGATCCATTTATTAATTGGACCAAATTGGGATATTACTTGATCCAATATGTTAGGGTCATTATCATCATATTCATCACTATTACGTCCCAACTATATAGGGAACATTATATGAATCTTATTCCAACATTCTATTTTGTTTGATGTCATATCTATTGTTAAATCATGGGTACTTAAATCAATTTTAGGGTCCATTTGATTCACATGAATAATGGTATGGAATCAGAACCAAATGGTCAATTTTGTTTCCAACCATTTGGTTGGGCAGAATCAGAATCCCATTCCCATTCCAAGTGGAAAGACATTCCCCCATTTGAGGGAATGACCATTCCATCCCCCTTCATTGGGAATGAGAATCCATTTAAGTTGATTTTGATTTCGATTTGGGAGAAATAGACCATTTCAATTCYGATCTAGTTATAAACCAAACAGATTCTTACTACTTCAACCCATGCCCTTTTACCTTAACCCTTCTAGCCCTTTCAACATGTATGGGATTGTCTCTTCTTATAAGTGTTGTGGGTGGTTTCCTATGCACATGTGACACCAAACCATCTTAATCTACTTTCTCTCATATATAAAATATTATTTTAATATTAAAGTGATTTAGAACTACCTTAGATTTGGGATTTAGAAAAGCTTATTTTTGCATATATTATTTTTATTTTCTATTTAATTTTACAAATATATAGTATTTTTATATAAATTGATTAATATTATAATTGAATCATAATAAATTATATGGATAAGTTGACTACTCTCCACCTTAGAATTTTGAATTTAACTACATACATACAACAATTCAAAATTATAAACACCTCCACCTATAACACCCATACCCACTTATGAATTGGCATCAATCTGAGTTGGCACCTACCCCAACTATATGCTGGAGCTAAGATTTCTAGGAGYGGACTAAACAATAAAAACCCCTAAAATTATATTCGGATTTGTAAATAAATTTCAAACCTAACATTATGTTTTACATATTCCTTGGATATCCTATCAGATATAGATAATATACCCTCACTCAAATTTGACCTAGGAGTTTGGATATGTTGGTCACAACACATTRTTGACCACATTCATCTAGCCACACATTGGAAACATCTCTTGTACTTTATATAGCCGATGTTCCTGTTGTGTAGTTGAATGAATATGACCGGCAATGTATTGTGGTTAGTAGATCTTGAAACCCTTTGCAACTCTAGCTCCTCACCCCAGAAGTGATATTTCCTATATTAGATTGGGCCAAAACCAGCACAACCCAACCACACTTCATCTATATTTTTTGGCCCAGCTATCTCGGATGGACCCGACCAAGGTTTTAATTTTCAATACAATACTGGGTGTATCGTATTGTATCTTTTAATATCCGATACAAGATAAAGGAAAAAAAATGAAAGTATCGTATTTTTTCTACCGTACCGTTCCGTATTGGGGGTGTATCGGTGGTGTATCAGTAGCATATCAGGTGTATTGGTAGCATATCGGCGAAAAAGATACATAGAAAAAACGAAAAAAAAGTAAAGGAGGAAAACTTTTTCCCTTGAAATAAGCATTCTTTCACCTCAAACAACTTTAAAACTTCAAACCTCAGTCCTAAAATGCTAGATACGCAAAAAATAAAAAGGAAAAAAAGTGTGAATCACCAATATTTTTTAAGATTTTTAAAGTTTTGAAAAATATTGCAAAAATAGGTAAGCCTTTTCAATTTTTCATAATATCTTATGATTTGTTTTTCTTGAATGGTTTAAAATGTTTAAATCTATGTTGGTGTACATTTCTTATATTTAAAATCACATTTTTTTTGTGTTATGAGTAGATCTATGAAAATTGTATGAAAAGATTTGGGAAAAATATAAAATAACAAAAAATTGAAAATATATTTCTATATCTGCCTATAAAGACTTAATATATTTTACATCTTTGGATTATCTATCATATCCATAGAGCAATTAAAATTTCTTTTTATATATATATATATATATATTATTTTTTATAATTTTAGAATTAAAAAAAAATAATTAATTATATTTTATGATCTAATCACAATTATTGAATATATTATAGATCTATAGATGATCTATCATATCCATAGAGGAATTGAAATTCCTTCTTCAATAATTATTTTTTTGAATATATTGTACAATGTTTTATTTTTTTTAGTAATTTTTGAAAATGAAAATATATTATAATTATTTAAATAAAAATAATTATTAATTATATTTATACTTAAAATTTGTGCCATGCATGTTTTATGATTGAATAGGATAGTTGGGTTTCTTCTGTCCTTTAGAACTTAAGAATTATAATTTATGAATTATATTTAAACATAGAGTTTCTAATGAAATTATAATTGACTATCATGTATTTATTGATAAAATCATTAAAATATATTAATTTTTCTATGAAGCATGTATATTGAGTACATTAGATTTTTCGATACTTTGTACGTTATATCCGAATTAACTCTCCGCACTCCCAGGTCCACAATATTGTCAACATGGTTGGCCCATGGGCTTGGGCTTTCTTCCACCATTTACACTCTTCAACTACGATTTAGGCGATTTAGGGCAGCGCGTCGCAGATTGTCGTAAACCTTTATTTATTGAGGGAGCGAAGCCGATTCAACTCGGGTTCTGCAGCTCGGAAATCGAAATTACTTCCTCTCTACGACCATCCGCAGCGTAAATAGTCTTTCCTGAATCTTGTCCGCGTCAACTGGTTTCGCAAGAACGAAATCCCAAGTTGTCGAAGACAGGGATCGGAGGAACGTTGAAGAAAAATGTTCTACAGAGGGTATGAGCGTTTCCAATATCTCAGATTTCTTTCTTTCTTGCTTGATTCAGAAATCTATGTCTTGAGGTTTTCTCGCGATCTTGATTACGACGTGCTTCGTTCTATCTTTGTTCAGAAAGTCTCGTTTATTTTGTTTCCAGTTTAAACTGCAAATTTCACTAAAATATAGGCAGAATTACAAGCGACAAGTTTAAATCATCCTTCTCTAATTCTTATAACTTGGGTTCTGCTCGTCGTTTTTTTTTTCTTTGTTTTCTGGAGGATCCCTTTTTGTTGGCATCTTACTATTTGATTATTTGGAACGGAATCAACTTTTTTTTTTTTTTTAAATTTTATTTTAATGGCAAGCACCTTTTAAGAGTAATTTCCATACCAAGAATTTGTTTATTTTTTTTTCTGCTTCATGGGCGTGATCTTGTTTTCACCTTTTTGAGGCAATAAAGGTTAATTTTTCTCATGCTAGCAAAAAGAAGAAAAAAGAAAAAAAGGTTAGGAGGTATAACTTTTGAAATCAAACTATAATTTGGGTTGGTATTCTGCAAGGATGGTATTGACGGGTGTCTTGTTATCTCTCTTGGTTTTTTCGGTGCCGTGGGCTGAAGGAGGTACATGGATGTTGGTGATGRACGTGAAATGGGTCCAAAGCGGCAGCGGTTAATTGATCAATCTCCGTCATTTTATGGTGCATCCCCTGGTTCGAGTTACATGTATAATGCTTCACCCTATGGATATATTGGTCAACCTCCACCATTCCCAGCTGTCCGGTTGCGTGGTCTTCCCTTTGATTGCACTGAAGCTGATGTTCTGGAGTTCTTTCATGGTCTAGACATCATCGATGTACTCTTTGTCCACAAAAATGGCAGGTTCACTGGGGAGGCTTATTGTGTTTTGGGGTACCCTCTTCAAGTTGATTTTGCGATTCAGAGGAACAGGCAGAACATGGGCAGGCGATACATTGAGGTTTTTAGGAGTAAGAGACAAGAATATTACAAGGCTGTAGCAAATGAAGTTTCAGATGCTCGTGGTGGCTCACCACGTCGAGGGGGTCCAAGGGGAAGATCCTATGATGATGGAAAGGATTCAGTTGAACATTCAGGGGTCTTGCGATTGAGGGGATTACCATTTTCAGCTGGAAAGGATGATGTGATAGAATTCTTTAAGGATTTCAAGTTGTCAGAAGATACCATTCATATCACATTTAATTCAGATGGAAGGCCAACTGGGGAAGCATTTGTGGAGTTTGCCAGTCCAGAGGACTCAAAGGCAGCAATGGCGAAGGATAGGATGACACTTGGCAGTCGTTATATTGAGCTGTTTCCTTCATCACATGAAGAGTTGGATGAAGCAGTCTCAAAGGGACGATGATGCCTTCCTGAAAGCAGTAGTGTAAATTTATGTGCGCTGACTTTGTCGTAGTTTTTTATTTTCTTTTTGTTTCACTACAACTTAGAAGTAATAAACTTTTCATTTATTGTTTTTATGGAGAGAAAATTTATGCTTAAAGCAAAACATTAAGGAGGTGGGCTTATATGCAGAATTTACTTGGATTATGTTTCCTTATGGTAGTTTAGACATGATTTTACATTCACTGTAATGCATATCTTGACAGATGACATGCTTATTTTGATATTTGATTTTCACTATCATGTCGTGTATTCCCAAGTGATAGAAAATTATCTTCTTATACTTAGCAACAAATTTATTTTTCTTTCCAACAGTAGTTTATTTACTATTTTTGGTCTTACTTGTGTTTTCTAGTACTTGATATGGAATATATGTAGGCTTTTGTRTTGACTTATTCCCTGCTGAACAAGCTCTCCTAGCCAATATCCTTGTCTATGGCATTAGTGTCAAACCAGCTACTGGCCATAATGATGTTTTCTTTTGGCTGGGAAAAGTTGGGGTGGTGGTGGTGGTGAGGTGAAGGTGAGATTAGTTCCTAGATCTGTTGGAACTACATAGACTATTTTACCAACCGAGCCAGTTGGCACATTCCCACTAATACTTGCCCAATAATCTTTAAGCTAATTGTTTGCACATAAGAACCTTTATTTTAATATAATACTTTACGATGTTATATGGATATTGCATAATTGAATGTTATTTTGTTTCATTATATTAAAGCATTATCTAGCATATAAAATTAAGTATCCTTACTGCATAAAGGCTTGAAGGCTTTCAATGGTTTAGGTTTGCCAAATGAAGGTTTTGAGCACGAAAAAAGAGAGAAGAGGAGGAATATAGGAATGAATGGCAGCTTAGTTCCTACCTAACCCTAAGAGTTGCGTTCTGGAAGAATGCTCGATAAAAGATCTTCTTGGAGATCTCAAGGGGGAGGGAGAAGATGGGAAGCTCAGAACTGGTATAGGAGAGAAGGGATAGGTGAGAGGACAAGACCAAACTTTTCTTACAGTAAAGTGGTGTTGGTGGGAGCATGACCAGACTTTGGGCATTCTGAACTGAAAATAGTGGAGGATAAGCAGGTGGTTTTAACGGAGATCCATGGGGTTGAGGCAAGAAGAAAATTCCTGTGTGACTATTTGGTGGGAAGATTCTGGTGGAGGGTAGGGGTTCAAACTTCAAAGAGGTGGAAAGCTGGGCAAGCAGAGCGTGGAAGGAGGTGGGGGGAGTGAGGGTGAAGAAGTTGGYGGATGAGCTTTTCCTCTTCATTTTCTCTTCTAGATCAGATGCAAAATGGATTCTCAACAATGGTCCATGGCAAATGGGGAGAAATCCTCCCCTCCTCGATTGGTGGGGAGCTAGTGTGGGTTGCTTCTATGCARAATCGAGTGAGGATTTTGATTGTTCGGAGTTCATCTGGATTAGAGTCTTTGGCCTGCCACTACTTCTCTAGTGTCCGAGCATGATCAAAGCGATTAGGGATGCCTGCGGTGGGTTCCTTGAAACAGACGATTCTCCTGCTGAGTTGGCCACGTGTGAGTGGATTTGAATGAAGGTGAGGAAGGGCGATATGATCCTTGCAAAGGTTGAGATTGTGGGTGGGGAATCTCTTTTCTCTGTTTGCACTTGGCTTGAAACTTTACCGTCAGTGCGAAGGTGGTGGAAGATGGAGAATCGGATAGAAGATAAGGTTCAAAAGAAGAGAATGGGTTTGGAAGTGTCTAAGATGGTGGTTTTAGAAGATATTGGGGAGAGCTCGTTGCAGCAAGAACCTCTCAGAAATTGCCAGGTTCGAGATATCCTGTTGTCTAGGTCATTGGAGGGGAAGATGCGAATCTAGGGCTAAATCTGAACCGTGTGATTATGAAACCTATGGAAGGCCAAGATTTCATCTCAAGAGATTGTGTTGAGGAAAGTGTTCCTTTTTTGAAAATGGGGAATTTTGGGGGATGTGCGATGGTTGAAGAAATAAAAAATTTAATTAGTGTTTAAGAGAAATGCATGTGGCGCCCATGGAGGAGAATTTGCTGAACAAGAAAGAGAAGGCTAGACAGTCTTCAGAGATTGGGGATTGTGTAGAAGTGGCTTTTCTAATACGGATCTAGGACCTCGACCCGAATCAAAGTAACTTAAATACCTGACCCACCCAGGAGTCTAGAAGAAGTAAATTTCCAAAATCTGCCAGTGAACCAAGGTGGTCCAATGGTAGATAGAAATTGCACAGCCCGGTCCGGTTGGAGTTGGTTTGGGTCAGCCAACCTTCAATGCAAACTGGGAGGAGGGCTTTTGAGACTCCAGTTGAGCCATTTTCTCAGTCTTTGGACCTTGAGAACTGTGGAGATTTCCAGGTTGGGGCGACTTCCATCTCTCGTTGTCCTGGGTTGGAGAGCTCGTCGGAAGTAGATAATTGACAACAGCAACAAATCTCTCTTCCCTTGGTGCCTGTGAACGCAAAGTTGTTGGAGGTGACGCCGCTAGTAGTGATGGACTCTGTGGGCCAAAATGATAATTTGGCCGAAAGCTTCAATCAACCCGAAAGGCTAGTGGAAAGAGGGAGAAGCCCTGCAGTGATGAAGTGTAGTGAAGATGCTCACCAGAAAGGATTTAAGGACAAATCAAATGGTGTGGCAGGTCAGGAAGGTAAGTCGAGTAACAATTCTACAAATTCTTCCTCTTGGGTTACATCAAAGCTCTTGGGTCTGGGGATTTTTTTGGGGGTTTCGATGGAGGGGATGGAAGCAGAAACAGTAAAATATTTGGAAGAGATTGAGCAAAGAATTTTGATGGAGAGGGGAAAATGGCGGCAAAAAAAGGAGGGACAAATTCAAAGAGAAATAGGGAAATGATGAGACTCGGGGCCTAAATGACAAGGCGGGGAGTAGTGAAGGGGTTGCAAGGGGGTCGAAGAAAATTTGAGACGGGGGGCTGAAGAAAATCTCAGATGGGGGGTGCTTGTTCTTTCTCAAAGTTTTTATGGATTTAAGAAGTTTATCCTAGAATGTAAGAGGCTTGGGGTCAGGTAGAAGAAGAATGGTGGTTTGTGATTCCCTGAAGATGTCGAAGTCAAAGATTGTACTGCTTCAAGAAACAAAATTGGAGAATTTAGATGTTGCTATCATCCGAATTATTTGGGGGGAAGGTCAGGTCAGATGGAAGACAAAGGCAGCTACTGGAAGTGCAGGGGGCCTTCTGTGTCTTTGAGATCCCTCTGTTTGTAGCCTAATCTCTAGTAGAATTGGAAATTTCTCAATTTGTTTAGTCATGAAGCTTCAAGATGGCAATGTTATCCAAATTACTAATGTTTATGGGCCAACAGTTTCAAATCTCRGGGCAGGCTTTTTGGAGGAGTTATCAGATATGAGAGGTTCTTTGGACCATCCTTGGGTCATTGGTGGTGACTCTAATGCGACTCTATCGGTGGAAGAGAAGAACACAAGGAGTGGAAGAACRGGGTCGATAAGGCTGTTTACAGACTTTATAAATAACATGGAACTTATGGATATTCYTATTCAAGGCAACAAATTCACCTGGACCAATACTCAAGAAAATCCAACCCTTGTGAGGTTGGACAAATTCTTGGTTTCTTCAAACTGGGATGATATCTTTCCTGATTTTAGGCAGATTACCCTTCCCAGACCTGTCTCCGATCACTGTCCTGTCCAACTAATATGTGGTCATTGTGAGAAAATCAGAGCTCCTTTTAAATTTGAAAATGCTTGGTATGAGGAAGACAAGCTGATTCCTTTGATGAATTTTGTGTGGGATGATATTCAGGTGGAGGGATCAAGCTCCTTTTGTTCTGGCAAAAAAACTGGGTGCTATAAAAGGAAACTAAAGATCTGGAGTTTGGAGAAAAAAATTAAATTTGGGCATTGAAAAGAAAGCTTTACTGGGTATCACTGAAGAGATTGATAGAGCTGAAGAGATGGGTCCAATATCTGATAAGTTGAGGTTGAAAAGATCCCAAGCAAAAAACAGTTTTGATAAATTGGTTGTGAAAGAGGAAATTAAGTGGAGACAAAGAGCTAAAATCACTTGGTTAAAGGAGGGTGACAAAAACACACACACTTCTTTCACAAAATGGCAAATGCCCGAGCTAGAGCTTCATCTGTTAGCAAGTTGGTGTGGGAAGATAGGAAAGGGGACTCATGTGCAGAGATTAAATCAGTTGCAACTTCTTTTTATAAGAAGCTCTATAAGGAGAGTTGGAGGTTTAGACCCTTTCCTACATATCTCCCAATTAGGCAGCTGGATGAAGATCAGAAATCTTGGCTTGAGAGACCTTTTTCAGAAGAGGAAGTTTGTGCAGCAATTAAGAAATTAGAAGGAGATAAATCACCTGGGCCAGATGGTCTCACAAACCTTTTCTACTTGAAGTGTTGGAACTTTGTGAAAGAAGACTTTGATGTAAGTGTTCCAGGCGTTCACTCAAATGCCTCTCTGCAAAGAAAATTACTCTCATTCCAAAAATTCATGGGGTTGTGAATATTAAGGATTTTAGGCCAATTAGTCTCCTCTTGGCCAAAGTCCTGGCAGAAAGAATGAAAGGGGTGTTAGGCAGTGTAATCTTTAATAACCAAAGTGCATTTGTTCCAGGGAGGCAGATGGTGGGCTCAATTCTAATTGCTAATTAGCTAATTGATTCCAGAAGAAGAGAGGGAATTCTGGGTGTGATTTGTAAACTTGATATTGAGAAAGCATACGACTTCAACTGGAATTGTCTGGAACGTGTGTTGGATAGAATGAACTTTGGACAGAAATGGAGAAATTGGACCAGAGTTTGTATTAAGACACCAAAATTTTTAATCCTAATTAATGGTCAATCTACGGGGTTCTTTGGTAGCTCTAGGGGTCTGAGGCAGGGAGATCCTTTGTCCCCCTTGCTGTTATCTGTGTCATGGAAATCCTCACACTTTTTTGCAAAATGGCTGCAGAATTTGGTTTATGGAATGGGTTTGCAATCTCCCTTGGAAAGGAGAAAGCAAATATCTTGCAATTTGCAGATGATACCTTATGTTTTGCTGATGCCTCTGTGACTCAATTGGAATCAGTGCTTGGGATTCTGAGTTGGTTTGAAGTGGTGTGTGGTCTTAAAGGTAACCTGAATAAAAGTCAGATCATCCTAGTGTGCCATGTTCCAAATTTAGAAGAATGTGCAAAAGTGATGGCTTGTCAAATTGATTCCTCCTGGTAAAATATTTAGGACTGCCTCTCGGGGCTAGATTTTCTTCCCCCTTAACCTGGTGCTCAATTATTGAGATAATGGAGAAGAAACTGGCCTCGTGGAAGGCAAAATATCTATCGTTTGGGGGTAGGGTTACTTTGATTAAGAGCACTTTTTCCAACCTACCTAATTTCCTCTCTCTTTTTCCCATCCCAAACAAAATTGCAAATAGGCTGGAGCAACTCCAAAGGAATTTCTTATGGAGGGGTTGGGAGGATGAAAAGAAGATTCACATTGTAAAGTGGGATCAAGTATGTCTCCCTAAGGAAGTTGGTGGGTTGGGAATAAGAAAGCTGAAGGAATTTAATTCTGCCCTTCTTAGCAAATGGTTATGGAGATTTGCTTCTGAGAGGAATGCATGGTTTTGAAACCTTATTACGGCAAAGTATGGTGTGGAATGGGGTGGTTGGAGATCTAAGGAGCCTAATCTTAATGGGGGAAGATCTCTCTGGGCAGGTATCTTGAAGAACATCCCTTTCTTTCTGGATGGGATCAGATTTAAGGTTGGTAAGGGGGATAGAATCAAATTTTGGAAGGATCCCTGGTGTTCAGTGGGTCCACTGGCTGATGTTTTTCCCCTTCTTTTCCAAATTTCGGTGAATCAAGATTCTTCAGTTGCTGAAAATTTTAGCATTTCTGGTTATTCCACTATTTGGACTCCTCTTTGCAGGAGAAATTTGTTTGATTGGGAGGTGGAAGAGTATGTGGTGTTGTTGGGGCTGCTTCAAAATCAGATGATTGATTCGAACTCAGAGGATGAATGGGTTTGGAAGTGGAATGCAGATGGTAGTTTCTCAGTCAAATCCCTATTTCTAAAGTTGTGCGGTTCAGGTCATGAGAACTTCCTTGTCAKGCAGATTTGGAATACAACTAGTCCCTCCAAGATCAATTTTCTGGTCTGGACCATGGCTCTTGATAAATGTTTGACCAAGACTAATTTGGAGAGACGTGGTATTCAGATTCTGGATCTTTTTTGTGGTTTGTGTAGAAACTACAGAGCACTTGTGTATCCATTGTCCGGTTTCTTCTTTGATCTGGGGGCATTTTCTTAAGGTTTTGGAGATAGTTGGACCATGCCAAAATCTGTGAAGAAGCTGCTGATGTGTTGGAGAGTTGAGTGTCTCAGCAAGAAAGGAAAGCTTGTTTGGAGTACCATTCCGGCAGCTGTGTTATGGTCCATTTGGACTGAAAGGAATAACAGAATCTTCTGTGGTAAATTTGAAAGTCCGGATGAAATAGTGCACAGAGCCGTGGGCAAGCTATGCTCTTGGGTGTCAGTGAATGAGGAATTTAAAAACCAGAATGTATCTCTTTTGTTCTGTTCTAAATCTTGGATGAGCTTGTAATTTGCATTGTGCCCAGGCAGAATTAGTGGTCTGGGTCTTGTTGTATCTCTCTTTTATGGGCTGAATAAATTACATTACCATTTTCCAAAAAATATTTAAAAGGTAAATTACAAAGACCTCCCCTGTACTATGGGGTCTATGACAAAGACCCCCCTGTACTTTGTTTTGCGACAAAGACCCCCTGTACTATGACCATGAGACAAAAAAACCCTTCCGTTAGCTTTCTGGTGAAACCCGCCGTTACAATATTTTTTAATCCCCATATTACCCTTGTAGATAATTGGGAGAAAAATACTGTTCATCTTCTCCGACTCACAGTACACGAACAACATCGGCAATAATCCACATTTCTCTCTCTCTCTCTCTCTCCCTCTCCCTCTCTCCCCCGATCTCTCTTCTTCCTCTATAGGGAGTGCTCCAAAACCCAAATGCAGCAGATTCTACAGAGTCTTGTTCTCTCCTTTTCCCCAAATTTTAAGAGTTATTCTTTCAAATCCCTCCCCCAGAGGCTTCTTACTATGCGAATTGAGATCCTTCATGATGATTTTACAACTTCAATCTCCAAACAATGGCCTGGTGGGTACAGTCACCTGAGATACGCATAAAGAGCATATGCATTGGGCTCATTCAAGCTACTCCAGAACTTCACCAGATCCCCAAAGCTCCTAAAACAGATTTCCGCAAAAYACATTAAACCTTCCCTGCAACAATAAGCACCAACAAAATCAAAATCCCATTTTCTATTTCCATTCAAACTCTATCTCTTCATCACAAGATTTGTGACAGTGAGAAACAAACACACTTCCGCAGAAATTTGTGTTTTATATTTCATAAAATCTAAACGAGATTCAGATAGGAGAAACCAAATGTTCTGGGCTTACTGTATTAGAGGGCTCAGCCATCCCCCATATCTGTCCTCCAGTTCTTGTGGCAGGTCATGATGATACAAGGTCACAAACGGTTCGATCCCTGCCAACACGTACAAGCCTTTGTTACAGACGATAAGAGGAACACAATAGGAGATCGATAAGAGGAACACAGTACCAGTGATGCCACAGGCACAGAGAGCGAGCATTCCCTGGCCTGGTGGAGGCCCCTGGAGGAATTAAAGTTGTTGGCTTCGCTGTTCTGTGGGTGGTAGAAGAAGCAACAACCCTGACGATTTTGAACGTTGCTGCTGTTGCCGCTGCAGATGTTGCATCTATCGTCCAAGTGAATGAAATCAAAATTAAATTCCAAAATTCCAAACAAAGATGGAGAGAGAGAGGGAGAGAGGTTGGTGGTGGATTCGCCACCGCTGAGT